TAAATGTGAACATGCATTAATTCATCTCACTCACTCACTCACAAAAAAAAATCAGATTTAGTTTAACTCAAAATTAATAAAAACAGTTAAAAGCAACTCAGAATGTGACTCAAAGCTGCAATAATTAAATGTTAAATAATACAAATATCCTTTATGTATTTAATCCCATTTATTTGCTGCTGACCTTCAGTGATCCAGTTCAACCGTACTAATAAACACAAAATACACAAGATAAACTAACATTTCTTCTTTTTGTTTATTGCTGAAGAGTGTTGAACTTTCTTCTTCTGTGTTCTACTGTACAGACGTGAATTTGCATTTCCTTCAGCCTGAGGCTTTTGGTGTGAAAAGGCTTTTATATTTGCCAAAAATATAACTTTTTATATTAAAAGCAAACAAGCAAGCCCAGCCCAGATTTAAAAAAGTAACGCAAACGTAACGCATTACTTTCAATAAAAAGTAACTAAGTAACGTAGTTACTTTTTTAGTAAGTAACGCAATATTGTAATGCATTACTTTTAAAAGTAACTTTCCCCAACACTGGTCATGAATGTCCACATGACGCCACAATCTCTGTTTAATCCCACAGATTGCAGGAAGTGTGAAAGCCAAGACCTCATAGAGATTAATGGGGCCCGTGTGTGTGTGGTTGCAAGCGCAGCTGAAAACTGAAACCCTTTGTCCTGCATGTCTGTCCTTGTCAATCAGCAGGTGATCTGGTTACAAAGACATGTGAGAACAGACACCTGTGGAAAGAGTTTGCCAAAAGATCACTTACAGTGTGTTTGAGAGGGCATTGTGGGAATGGAGCTTGATCATTGCTCACTTGTAAACAATGAGCGTACTTTGTTTGAAGTCATGGATAAAATCACCTGTAATTAAAGATGGAGTGGCCTGTGCTTACATGCTGTTTGATGTCATTTCTATAGTTCATTGGCTTTTATGTCCCCATGAAACAATACTGCATATTTGACATAAAATGCTAATCAGTTTTCATGTCACATGGTTTTCCCATACATAGATGTGCCTTCGCCTTGAAATAAGTTACAGATATATACAATTTTGAGTATTAGTATACATCTTATTCTGACATGACATAAAACACAAATTATAGGTCATGTCTCTCAACATTTCTTCTTTTTGTTTATTGCTGAAGAGTGTTGAACTTTCTTCTTCTGTGTTCTACTGTACAGACGGGAATTTGCATTTCCTTCAGCCTGAGGCTTTTGGTGTGAAAAGGCTTTTATATTTGCCAAAAATATAACTTTTTATATTAAAAGCAAACAAGCAAGCCCAGCCCAGATTTAAAAAAGTAATGCAAAAGTAACGTAACGCATTACTTTCAATAAAAAGTAACTAAGTAACGTAGTTACTTTTTTAGTAAGTAACGCAATATTGTAATGGATTACTTTTAAAAGTAACTTTCCCCAACACTGGTCATGAATGTCCACATGACGCCACAATCTCTGTTTAATCCCACAGATTGCAGGAAGTGTGAAAGCCAAGACCTCATAGAGATTAATGGGGCCCGTGTGTGTGTGGTTGCAAGCGCAGCTGAAAACTGAAACCCTTTGTCCTGCATGTCTGTCCTTGTCAATCAGCAGGTGATCTGGTTACAAAGACATGTGAGAACAGACACCTGTGGAAAGAGTTTGCCAAAAGATCACTTACAGTGTGTTTGAGAGGGCATTGTGGGAATGGAGCTTGATCATTGCTCACTTGTAAACAATGAGCGTACTTTGTTTGAAGTCATGGATAAAATCACCTGTAATTAAAGATGGAGTGGCCTGTGCTTACATGCTGTTTGATGTCATTTCTATAGTTCATTGGCTTTTATGTCCCCATGAAACAATACTGCATATTTGACATAAAATGCTAATCAGTTTTCATGTCACATGGTTTTCCCATACATAGATGTGCCTTCGCCTTGAAATAAGTTACAGATATATACAATTTTGAGTATTAGTATACATCTTATTCTGACATGACATAAAACACAAATTATAGGTCATGTCTCTCAAATTCCAGTCTACCCTGTTACACTGGTGCTACTTACCCTTAAAATCTTAAGAGTATGCCATAAATCACATGACTTGTTGGAAATTACATCATTTCCTTGGAGGGAAAGCAACTCTAAGAACAAAGTATGTTAGTCATAAACATGTCCACCCTGTTGTGTCAATTTGTACCAGACATGAAAAAGTTGCTGATGTTATATATCTATTAATATTCTTACAAAATGTTAATCTTCTGCTAGCATGTTGTTCTTTTTAGCTAGTGTTCCAACTGTCCACCCTGTAACACATTGCATTGTAAAGATGTCATGTAACAGGGTGGAAAATTAGCTAGAATGTTTTGGTCTGGATTATTAGCTTGAGCCTGAGCTTGACCAGTGTGTTTCTCTAATAGACAGGCATTTTCTTTCTCTGATAAGACTAAAAAAATATATAATTTTTAGTTTATTTTTCAACAAACTTATCAGTCCAAATCCACCAAACTGTGTGAATGAGACATTAAAGGGGTCATATGATGCTTTTTTAAAGATCATTATTTTGTGTATTTTTGTTTATGAATGGTAATGTATGACCTGGACAGGTTTTGTGAGATTCATGCTGGAGGTCAGAGGTCACATGTTCAGATAAGTATGCACAGCTCCTCATCAGTTAACTGGTTGACCTCCATGATTTTATGAAGCTGCTCCGTGTAGCGCGCTTGGTCCTGCAGGAAGTGAGGAATCCGCACATGCTCCATCAGAGCCAGACTCTTCAGGCGCTCCACGTCCTCATACGACACCTGCACAATACACAACACAGTTAAAAGCTGCATGATTTGGGGAAAAAATGTAAATGCAGTTTTTCAATTATTAAACTATCAAACTTTTATTTTGACGTAAACCCCAGGAAAGCCCATAAAGCTTCTCTTTTGTGCTTCTCATTACAAGTATGGGAAGATGGCTGGCTCATGTTTTGTTCCCAAATGCACGTTAAACACACTCAGACTCAAAGGAGATGCAGAGATGGAGATCATGTGGAGCAGCATTCACTGTGAATCGATCCGAGATGCTTAAACTTGAATTATGAGCTGCTCACGTGTAAATGAACACAGTGCTGTGCTTCACTCAGCACATATATTGATTTAATTGAATATTGTGATGTAACTTTCATTTCAATTAATCTTGCAACAAATAAATCAAGTTAAGTGTGTCAGTAAAGTACCTTTCCCAGAGCCATGAGAAGCTGGAAGTCAATCTTGTCTCTGTGTCTGAGGATCAATTTTTTTAAATTCACAAATATTTAATGCTTCTAAAAATAAGCTTACTTTTTAATGCTAAAAGTAATTTAATCTTTCTTTCTTTAGGTTTTAGTGAAATATGACCTGAACATGTTTTTGTTTATGAATGGTAATGTATGACCTGGACAGGTTTTGTGAGATTCATGCTGGAGGTCAGAGGTCACATGTTCAGATAAGTATGCACAGCTCCTCATCAGTTAACTGGTTGACCTCCATGATTTTATGAAGCTGCTCCGTGTAGCGCGCTTGGTCCTGCAGGAAGTGAGGAATCCGCACATGCTCCATCAGAGCCAGACTCTTCAGGCGCTCCACGTCCTCATACGACACCTGCACAATACACAACACAGTTAAAAGCTGCATGATTTGGGGAAAAAATGTAAATGCAGTTTTTCAATTATTAAACTATCAAACTTTTATTTTGACGTAAACCCCAGGAAAGCCCATAAAGCTTCTCTTTTGTGCTTCTCATTACAAGTATGGGAAGATGGCTGGCTCATGTTTTGTTCCCAAATGCACGTTAAACACACTCAGACTCAAAGGAGATGCAGAGATGGAGATCATGTGGAGCAGCATTCACTGTGAATCGATCCGAGATGCTTAAACTTGAATTATGAGCTGCTCACGTGTAAATGAACACAGTGCTGTGCTTCACTCAGCACATATATTGATTTAATTGAATATTGTGATTTAGCTTTCATTTCAATTAATCTTGCAACAAATAAATCAAGTTAAGTGTGTCAGTAAAGTACCTTTCCCAGAGCCATGAGAAGCTGGAAGTCAATCTTGTCTCTGTGTCTGAGGATCTTCAGGATGCCATCTAGATAAACCTGGTCCTTACTGAAACAACCTTAATAACACATTTTTTTAATTATTTACACGCATAAGCAAGCAATAATAATTATGTAAGATGTCATAAGCCTTAGAATCATTGACCGATATATATTTCCAAGGCCGATATATCGGTCGATAATTAGCATTTTTTAATTATCGGCATTGTTCGGAAATTCTTGCTTACAGTGCATACATCCTTCTTATTCACATTCATAAAAATGTCTTTATTTGTGAAAAATACTACAATAGAATTACAGAATCACCATCTAAATAAATCTCTTTACCTTACAGATTTATTTTTTATCAAGTTCAAATTATTATTATTTTTTTCATATTTATACATTTTCACATTTAGTAAATATTATGTAAAATAAATATAATTTTAATTTCAGCTATTGTTATGCATGTGTTTTTGCTATCTTTAAATTAAACAGTGTGACATCAAATATATATATTAACTTTATACAAAACTACCAAATTTTGCTATGTTTAATCACAACATATAATCATTGCAGTTAATAGTGTTCACTGATTACATATCATTAACTAACTGCATTCATTTTACTGTACATTTCTGCCATATGGACATCAACTTGACCTAGTCACCACTGATAAGCTAAAGCTACTACTAAATATAATGTAGAAACTTTAAATTAGAAACTTCAATTTTCTGTAAAGCTGCTTTGCAACAATTTGTATCGTGAAAAGCGCTATACAAATAAACTTGAACTGAATTTTTAATTTCAGCTATTGTTATGCATGTGTTTTTGCTATCTTTAAATTAAACAGTGTGACATCAAATATATATATTGACTTTATACAAAACTACCAAATTTTGCTATGTTTAATCACAACATATAATCATTGCAGTTAATAGTGTTCACTGATTACATATCATTAACTAACTGCATTCATTTTACTGTACATTTCTGCCATATGGACATCAACTTGACCTAGTCACCACTGATAAGCTAAAGCTACTACTAAATATAATGTAGAAACTTTAAATTAGAAACTTCAATTTTCTGTAAAGCTGCTTTGCAACAATTTGTATCGTGAAAAGCGCTATACAAATAAACTTGAACTGAATTGAAATTGACTTTACTGTATATCGGTTATCAGCCACCATGCTCAGATATCGGCATCATGCTGTACCTGGCAGTGCCGTGTCGGTCTGTCCTCGTTTGGCTCTGACGCAGTAGTCCCATCGCGTGTTGGGGTCGTGCAGGAACCGGCCCAGGTTGTGAAACAGCTGTGAGAAGGACATGCGGCTGGCCTGGTAGACGGTGTAGTAGAGCAGGGCGGCGCGCCACAGCGTGGGGTCCTTGCGGAAGAGCACACTGTGGATGCTGGCTAGACCCTCCTCAGTGGGGTTGATAGGCCGCAGACCGTGTTTCTTTCTGCCGCCGCTGCTGCCCCACGGCTGGTGACTGTTGTTGATGCCGCGGAAGTAGTGCGTACCTGTGTGAAAGATGTAGAGGGGTTTACTCTAGCAAACAATTCAGAACAATCTGGATTCATTCATTCATATTGGAAGATCAAACTTAATCAAAATTACTATTATAAAACGGATAGTTCCGGTCCTTGATTCTGATTGGCTGAGCCACATTCGAAGCTGTTGTAAATTACATTTACATTTAAATTACATACTGTTGTAAAAAACACACACCTTTATTTACATCTGTGTGTTGCTCGGCAGCCACTTTGTAGCAACCACAACTGTTTCTGAGGAACTACATTGTTTGGTGGAAGAATAATGTTTTTATTAATATCATTACACTTTATTTGCTGTTTTATTTTGTGAAAGCTTACTACGTATATGCAATAACCGTTTTATAAAAGCAATAAGCGCTGTGAAGCCGTGGTTTACAGTGAATTTATAACAGGGGGTTGCTTCACGTCGTGCCTAACAAGGCCCCTTAGCTGTTATAAATTCACTGTAAACCACGGCTTCTTGGGGCTTATTGCGATTTTGTGAAAGCTTACTACATATATGCAATAACCGTTTTATAAAAGCAATAAGCGCTGTGAAGCCGTGGTTTACAGAGAATTTATAACAGCTAAGGGGGTTGCTTCACGTCGTGCCTAACAAGGCCCCTTAGCTGTTATAAATTCACTGTAAACCACGGCTTCTTGGGGCTTATTGCTTTAATAACTATTAATAATCTGTAGTTATCAAATTAATTTCATTGTTGTCATATTATACAGAGGAGCCCCCGCTCTTCGCAATAATATTCAAAGAACCATTCATTTGTAATGAGCAGGATGTTTAAAAAATGTTTTAATCAATATTTCTACCAAAATAAAAAAATAATTTAGAGCTTGGCATAACTCGAGAAAATATAAGTATAAGCAATATCAATAAAGATGCTTTCACCATTTAGCTCAATTCATTCACAATTATAAGCCATTATCGCACACCTTGTAATACACTTTTAACATTCCAAAATTTCCCTTTAGTATACTTTTTATGGAAATAATATAAATATACTGTAACATGATATACTTTAAAAAAGTAGACTAAATGTAAGACACTGAACTGTATGCTAACTGCAATTAAAATGGAAATGTAGAATATTTTACATTGATATTAAATTCACCCACTAAAGTAGGACTTAAGTACATCTTTATATGTAATTTCATAATTACCTATACTGTCTTTGAAATATGGTTAAAGTTACTGCCGAATATACTGACAAGCATTTATGATCAACTAAAATATACTTTTTCATTTTTATTGAAAGTTGTGTCATGTATTTAAATATATTTGTAATTACACATTTATGATGATCAAGTTGCAATTTACTAAATTTAAAATGTATTAAATTTAAATGTTATACTGAACAACACATGACAGTTACAATTATAATCAATCAATACTTTCCATGTGCTTTAGTATGTTAGTCAACACATCAACATAAGTGCAAACATAATGAATTAAAATGTACTTTAAAGTAAAACTTTTGACATAATTATTAAGTGTACTTTTGAAAAATGTACTTAAGTGTCTCTCTTTAAGTGCACTTGAGTGTTCTTTTATTTTATTATTATATGATCTGCAAGTATTTTTTAATTTTTAAGACTTCTAGCGCATTAATAATACAATTAACCACACTTCTTTTTCACAAGGCACTCACTTGTGACTACTGAACATATCTTTACCAAAACATTGCAAACAATTGCTAGGTCAAGTCTCCAGCAGCCAACCCCTGATTTCTGAGCAGACCAACAGAGAAAGTGAAGCAGAGCGAGAACACACAGCGTGGGAGTGTAATTAATGTGTTCTTGATACTCAGCTCTGATACGCTCAGGGTCTAATAGTCCCTGACAGCAGGAACACAAGCTGTTGCCGACACAGATGGCTGGTTTTTCTGGGGTGACCGAGACACGATCCACAGTACAGAGCACAAGGGAGTGGAGCTGGTGGATCATGAAAGACTTGAATGGGTCTCACTATTCTAATATGACTGTCAGATGCTGATATAGACAAACACGCACCGATTTCATGCCTCAGCATCCCCTCCAGCCACTGCTCTCTGGCAGTAGAGATGTTAATGGTGAGTGTAGGTCTGCTGTTCACCACAGTCATAGATGCTCTGGACAGGAGGTCATCAGTGAGATTAACCACAATCTGCAGAGAGAGAAAATTTTACATCTACACTCAAGATGATATCAACCGAATAATATCAATAAACAACACTACCATTCAAAAGATTGGGGTCAGTAAACCAGCATATTAGAGTGATTTCTGAAGGATCGTGTGACACTGAAGATAGGAGCAATGATGCTGAAATTTCAGCTTTTCCATCACACGAATAAATTGCATTTTAAAATGTATTATGATAGAAAACAGTTATTTTAAATTGTAATAATATTTCTAAACTTTTGCTGTATTTTTGATCAAATAAATGCAGCCTTGGTGAGCATAAGAGATTTCTTTCAAAAACATAAAAAACAACTTTCAATTATAAATTGTCATATTTTTCTCAACTGTTTTTGAGATTTTTTGATTGAATTAAAAGTGCAGCTAACAAACTGTGAATTTGCATTTAAATCTCGCTCTCTCACCTCTCCCATGCATCCTTCCTTCTCCATGTATTTTTTGACATGGTACCAGATGCGGCTCTTGGTGAGGAGGTTTCCTCCAGTAGCCTGTTCAAACTTCTCATAGGAGCCGTATTTCTGCAAGGCCAACTCCATGATCCGCACAGCCTGAGACGACAGCAAACACTCAGGAGACAACTTTTACAGATAACACCTTTTGCTACCTACATGAGCCTAAATTAGTCCCTTGTGTAGTAGATATTTTGGGACTGCTTGTGCTTTAAGATAAATAAAGTGAAATATGCCTGCAGAAGCATAACTCAATATAACGCTCAATTGTTACGTCATGTATGTATAGACCATATAGCTGGGGCTTTGGTGTTGTGTGGATTTATGAAAACTGATTTGTGATCCATCAGGTTATGCCTGAGGTTGATCTACAATGAGCTCGGCACTCTGAGATAATCAATATAATGGTCTGAAATGAATCCATTTATCCTTTGCTGCAGCACACAAAGCTCTAATACAGCCACTATACCCTACATTTAAACATTAATCCATAAATTATAACTTGCTATGTTGTTTTTGTTGGCTTTTGCAGCCAGGAAAACTATTATGGGATCTCTGATGCCCTGTATAAAGTGCTCTGTGTTGGTCTCTCAGTGTTGGCTCTGTTTAATAGCTAGCGGGAAACTGAATTGAATTGAAATAATGAACTCTTTAACCTTCAAAGAGGTTTATTAGTCTGACTGTGTTGTTGGCAACACATACAGTTGTAGCACATTACTTTGAGCTGCTGAGCCTGAGACGCAGCTATAAAGGTAAAGCACTTGTTTCTAACTTAATCCATGTTGAACGTACAAAACTAAAGAGTCAGAGTGTTTATTTCAGGAGCAATTCCTATTAATCTCATTTACAGGACTGTGACCTTTCAGCAGGGGTGCCAAACTCAGTTCCTGGAGGGCCACGGCCCTGCAGAGTTTAGCTTCAACCTTAATTAAACACATCTACAGCTAATCAAGTTCTTCAGGATTATTTGAAAACTACTGGTAATATGTGTGTTGGAGGAGGGTTGGAACTGCGGCCCACCAGGAGCTGGATTATGGCATGTGAATGAGAATAACGAACGCCAAACCTTATAGAAGATATCAGCATAAGAAAGGATGAAAGCAAATGAATGCTAAATGCATAAGTCCTTTTTAAAGCAATGCAGCATGCAATAAAATTAAAAACAAAACCATTAGACATAAAAGCATTTGTTAATTACTCATAGGCTGAATCCCAATTTGCATACTATCCAACTAAATAGAGTAGCGTAAGTGCATCACATCACAACACATATGCTAAAGGTGTACAAATTACTATTTGGCTAATTTTGAGTATGCATAATTGCATGATTTTCAGTCTAGTATTTGTCACAACCCCTTGCACAGTGGAACAGGTTGTAGAACAGTGGCAAAGTATGAATGTATGTCTTGGTGAATTTTAGGGTAACGAAGTTTGCTAGACACTAATGCTAATGTGCAAACGCAAGCATTGTCAGAATGAAATATGGCATGGCCAAATTCAGAGGCTGTATCCTTTCAAGGCATTACAATGGCACGACGAAGGCCATCCATTTCAAAGCCTCCTTCAAGCGTGGCCTTGAAATGCGTCCTTCATTTTCCAAGCCACAAAGGATACAATGAATGGATCCTTCGTGGACCAGACGATCTCAAAGTTCACTGCACACTGGTGACAACGGGATTTTTTTGGAGAGAAAATACATTTTTTAATAAAAGTACTAGGTTTCAACTTACTTGAATATTTAACAATACAAATGTTTAAAAAACACTTTAAAGTGGTTCAAATGTTGACATATCTTTCCATAACTGCATCTCATTTCGGAGGATGTCTTGCTACACAATGTAATTAAAAAACGTATAGGGCCCAAAACACTCTATGCAAGTGTACTGTGCACTTACAAGACACTGGACAAGCTTTTGTTGAATACTAGTATAGTAGTAAAGGTGCGGTCACATCGTGACTTTGCCAAAATTTTGCCAAAAAAGTTCCCTTGGGTATAGTCAAACATATGAAACATAGCTCACACAGAAGTCACTTTCACACCAAACAGCTTTCTATTGGTTAGAGTGGTGACTTCATGTGTCAAACCCATTTCAAAATACGCAATGGAGAATCTTTTGTCTTCCCAATTGTAATGATTCCTGTTGAAATCACTGGATTCCCTGTTGAACAAAACAGCATATGCTGGTTATGTATGTTTTGAAGCATGGCAGCTGGTTTAAGCTGGTCCTGAGCAGGAGCTCATGCTTAGGACCAGCACCTGACCAGCTTAAACCAGCTAAAAACAGCAGCCATGCTTCAAAATATACCTAACCAGCATATGCCTCAGGCCCAATTTTGAACAAGTGCATGTTTGTGACTGGATAACAGTGGATACCGAGTCAAGGTCCTTAATCTATTCTGTGTGAGAGTATGGGCACTCACCTGTGTGAGGAAGCGGTCTGAAGCGGTGCTGTGCTTTGCTAGTACTTGTGGAGGCAGAGGGTTGCTGTACTCAAACTGAGGATTGTATTTAAAGTCTGCTTTGAAAAACCTGGCCTTCTCTTTCTCTACATTAGACGGCTTTATGGCAGTGAGGATGCAGAGCTTCTTGATTGAGTTCTCTACATCACGAGCAGCAGGAGGCACTCTGGAGAGCTGCGGGAGTTTGGTGCCGGCCGGGCAGCTGTTTTTAGGCCTGGGGATTGGTCCGGGGGACAGGCGGATGGCACTGCCCAACATGGTGATGCTGTTAGTTTGCTTGGAACTGCTGGTGGAGAAACACGAGAACACTGACTGAGAGTGCCTGCTGTCTCTGCAACCAAAAGCCAGGCCACTCATCGTTAGAGGTGCAAGGGTCGGCAGGGGTCTGTCGCGATGCCTTGCCGTGGAGACTCGTTTGGGGCACTTGTAGGAGGAGTGTTTAGGGCTCTCCTGAGCATCTGACTCTTTCTGCAGCAGTGTGTTGTAGCTGCTGGTGGCTGTGTTAAACAGGTCCTTCAGAACGCCAGAGGATATGCGCTCCAGATGCAGCTGACTGGGGCTCACAGGCTTCTCCATGGGGCTTAGGACACAACTCTTAGACATTTCCATCTCTGGCCAATGGAGCCGTTCTGGAAGGAAATGGCAAAAGATGGGGTACTACAATAATCTACTCAATTCTTAATTCTCTTTGCCAGTGAGGCATAAAAGGACTATGGCTTGAACAAACAGACATATTTGGGTGATTCTTCTTTAACATTTAGTTTTCTGGAGACCATTAAAAAAAAAAGATATATATATATATATATACATACATACAATATATACTTAAGGATGTACTACAGTGAATTGCTGTCTTGTAGTCGAGACCAGCTCATTCGATTCAAGGCTTAGACTTGAGTAGGTTATGTCTAAATAAAGACTGAGACAAGAAAAGGGTTGTGTTCGCGATCAGAAGAGTCACATCTGAGTCAAGTCCGATACCAAAAGAAGGTCGCTTCAAGTCAATTTCGAGACCAAAAGAGGGTCGCTTCAAATCAAGTCTGAGACCAAAAGAGCGTCGCTTCAAGTCAAGTCTGAGACCAAAAGAGGGTCGCTTCAAGTCAAGTCTGAGACCAAAAGAGGGTCGCTTCAAGTCAAGTCCGATACCAAAAGAAGGTCGCTTCAAGTCAAGTCCGAGACCAAAAGAGGGTCGCTTCAAATCAAGTCCGAGACCAAAAGAGGGTCGCTTCAAATCAAGTCTGAGACCAAAAGAGGGTCGCTTCAAGTCAAGTCTGAGACCAAAAGAAGGTCGCTTCAAGTCAAGTTCGAGACCAAAAGAGGGTCGCTTCAAGTCAAGTCTGAGACCAAAAGAAGGTCGCTTCAAGTCAAGTTCGAGACCAAAAGAGGGTCGCTTCAAGTCAAGTCTGAGACCAAAATAGGGTCGCTTCAAGTTAAGTCCATCGCAAATCAAGTCGCGTCATTTCTCAAACCAGAAGAGGGTCAAGTCTGAAACCAAAAGAGTGTCGCTTCAAGTCAAGTCTGAGACCAAAAGAAGGTCGCTTCAAGTCAAGTTCGAGACCAAAAGAGGGTCGCTTCAAGTCAAGTCTGAGACCAAAAGAAGGTCGCTTCAAGTCAAGTCCCATACCAAAAGAGGGTCGCTTCAAATCAAGTCTGAGACCAAAATAGGGTCACTTCAAGTCAAGTCTGAGACCAAAAGAGGGTCGCTTCAAGTCAAGTCTGAGACCAAAATAGGGTCACTTCAAGTAAAGTCCATCGCAAATCAAGTCGCGTCATTTCTCAATCCAGAAGAGGGTCAAGTCTGAAACCAAAAGAGTGTCACTTCAAGTCAAATCCGAGACCAGAAGGTCGCTTCAAGTCAAGTCCATCGCAAGTCTAGTCACGTCATTTCTAAGACCCGAAGAGAGTCACAAGTCCAAGACCAGAAGGAGGTTGTGTCCGATTCAAGTCAGAGTCCAGTAGAGGGTGGCTTCCGAGTCAAGTTTGAGACCATAAGAGGATCGAGAACGAGATCAGGTCACATCTGAGTCGAGTCTGACACCAGAAGAGGGTTGCTTAGAATCAAGTCTGAGACCAGAAGTGAGGTGTATACGTGTCAAGACCGAGACCAGAAGAGGGTCGCATTCGAGTCAAGTTCAAGATCATAAAGGGTCTCATCCGCGTGAAGTCAGAGACCAGAATAAGGTTAAAGGGTTAGTTCACCCAAAAATGAAAATTCTGTCATTAATTACTCACCCTCATGTCGTTTCAAACCCGTAAGACCTTCGTTCATCTTCGGAACACAAATTAAGATATTTTTGATGGAATCTGAGAGCTGTCTGACCCTGCATAGACAGCAATACAACTGAAATGTTCCCAAGTCCAGAGACGGAGCAAGGAGATCGATAAAATAGTCCATGTGACATCAGGGGGTCAACCGTAATTTTACGAAGCTACGAGAATACTTTTTGTGCGCAAAAGAAAAAAAAACAACTTTATTCAACAATTCGTCTCCTCCGCGTCACCCTATAGCGCTATTTTGGAGAGTATCAGCTGGACGTAAACAGCGTATGCTGTTCTGTGTCAGCTGCGTCACACAGCGTTGTTTTCGTTCAGATCAAATCACAACAGCATAGGAAACAGATCCGTCGTGACGCAGCTGACACAGAACAGCATTCATTGTTTACGTCCAGCTCCGTCTCTGGACTTGGGAACATTTCAGTTGCATTGCTGTCAATGCAGGGTCAGAGAGCGCTCAGACTCCATCAAAAATATCTTAATTTGCGTTCCGAAGATGAACGAAGGTCTTACGGGTTTGAAATGACATGAGGGTGAGTAATTAATGACAGCATTTTCATTTTTGGGTGAACTATCCCTTTAAGTCCAAAGTCCATGACAGGACAAAGACAATAAAAATACGGTCTTAAACTCTGGAGTTCGGTCTTGAGTACTACAACTAACAGCACCCTTTTGTCATGACAATATCAAAATATATTAGGATGGGATAACAGAGAGCACCAGGTGGAATTTCAAGTAAAGGAAATACTGCTGGTGCTAAACTTGAGACCAGCCCCGTAATTGTCAATTCAGTGTTGTGTCCCCATTTCCCTGGAAACAAAATCTCCTTCGCCTACTTAACCTTGAATCCAACAAACGACGAGAAACAGATCCGAACAGCACAGTGAAATGCAGCACGCTGTAAGCAGCTCTTTCACTGTCTAGTGATTTGACTTCACAAACCAGGCTAATCCTATTAAGGAACAAATAATATTCTCCCATTCAGCATGACGGGTACTGCTTGACAATCATGCTATGCATTCAGTGATCCCGCAGGCTTTCGTAATCCCAGTCTGTTCCACATTCCTCACTTTGGATAGGCATCTGCTAAAAGAATAAATGTACTGTAATGCATTTATTACATCATCTCAGGAGGATAGAATAAGGATGCATTTACTGTATCAGTGTTAGGTCATGTGGCACACAATGGCAGCACTAGTCCACGTGCCTCTGCGAAATGATCCCGGGCCTTATCACAGAGAACAGCTCTGACAGGTGCACTGATGAAGAAGAGCCACAGCCTCAGCACCACAGAGCCAAACTAGTGAAGAAGCACATACAGCTGTCTGCCTATGCTAAGATCTCAGGGCTTCATTGGATGATGCAGCATGCATGAAGTAGACTTGGAAGCACGTACTGTATGTCAATGCATTCGACACGACAAAAGTGAACTCATTTTACTTTCTGGAGCCATTTTTGTAATGAAGTAGTGTCGCAGTAGCCTAATTGTGGTGGAATCGAATGTATGAAATTTATTTTTTACAGTGTGGTTATAATTGTGAATTAACACCCAAAGATGTTCTCTTATATTTTGAATCAAAAACTGCATCTGTCAATTTTATGATGAATCTAATGATTTTATTTTGGTCAATTTCATATTCATAAAAGTAAAATAAATAGTTCTAAACCCTGTTTGAAGGTCTTTATGACCGATTTTCATTTGCATTTGGAGTCTCTCCAATGTATTGATAACATAAAAATGTAGAGATACAATTTTATTCGCTAAAGAGTTGAAGTTACTTGAAAATTGAATGGGTATATGCCGTCTTCTTTTTCTTCTTTAAGTATTATTGATCGATTAATTTTTTTCTATGTAATGTAAACCCATTCCTTTAATTGTGTTATCTTTTTGGATGTCTTGTTAAAGTTGTAAATGTTGCATGTTATGTCTTTAACGTCTAATAAAAAATAAATTTAAAAAAGTCGAGAAATAGTTATTTGATTTAAGTCAAGTCAAGTCAAGTCACCTTTATTTATATAGCGCTTTTAACAATACAGATTGTGACAAAGCAACTGAACAGCATTAATTAGGAAAATAGTGTCAATAATGCAAAGTGACAATAGTAAACACTCATTTTTCAGTTAAAGACAGTTCATCATTGAATTCAGTGATGTCAACATCCAGCTCAGTTCAGTTTAAATAATATCTGTGCAATCATGTCAACGATAACGCTGGAAATGAAGTGTCAAGTGATACATTTGCTTGAGAATACATTTCACACGGTAAATATTTCAATGCATTTAACTTACTTTACTATTAACAGTGCTGGGTAGTAATCGATTACATGTCATCTGAATTAGGACATCCGATTCCAAAAATTAAGTAATTGTAATTACATTAAAAAATGCTCGTGATCTGACTAGTTACTTTTTGATTGATTAGGCTACATGTTATTCACACAATAGCAATACATTATTAAATGTTCCTTTCTAAAATAGCCTGCTGCACACTCAGAAAGTCTTCCAGTTTTGTGGACATTCACAAAGAGACCAGTCACTATCAGGTGGCTACACAGCATTTAACCACTGATTTATAAAAATCATTTCAGGTTTAAGAAGTGTGCATCAAGTTGTGATGAACACATTACGTTTTATTTGAATTAGGTTATTTCACCATGTCTTACTATGTCATTTGGGGGGCTTTTGTCTTTCAAACACATTGAATTGCACAAATTCATGTGATTTCTTATTTACATGTAATGCAGGCATACCTAAACTTCGTCATCTGAACCTCTTTCACCTATTTACTATTAATTAATAATCAATAATCACATTTGCATGTTCAGGGTTCTCTGACTTTGGTTAATGTTCACATGACATGCAGGTTCACAAATAACAGCCTACATAAAAAAATTTTTAGTCAGCTTTTATTTTGATGTTATTAAAATGATTGTAATTTTACATTTTTATAATTATTAACTTCTCCTTGAAGTCTCAAACATCCTGCAGTTCCTTTACGAACCCGTTTGGGAAACCTTGACGTAATGTTTAATGCACTATATGTTGTTAATTACAACAAATGGAGTTTTTCTTACTCTTTGTATTTTTATATTGATATGATACAAGACTATCCTATTTAAATCGATGTGATATAACGAGTTATGTTAAAATTAATCGGAGCATAGTCTGATTATATTACCTAAAATGTGTAATATAGCCTTAAGGACTACGTTAGTAACTTACATTTTTGTCATGTAATTTGGAATCAGCAACGGACAAGTATTTGTAAGTAATATACACCGCTCTCACAATTGTTTATGAATGCTTGAAACACATGTAAAGCATGTTTAAATTTTGTTAACATTTTTCATACTGCATGTCTTAAATGTATTTGTAATTTATTTTAATTACTTATTTCTAAGCCATCAAGACCTCATGATCTCCATTTAACAATCTTCTTTTCTTTTAAACACTTTAGCCTCGGAGTTCATGTTTTTGATGTTACAACCCTCCTGTGTATTGTAAAATATACAGAGTTAGACATTCACACCAGCAAAGTACAAATATTGCAGTTCTCATTGTACACATTCATACACCCCAGAAACATTTCATTATTCCCATCTAAATTATGCTTTGAAGAACAAAACCCCCACAGTACCACACACAGACAGCTTTATACCTCCCTCTTGTGGAGATACTGAACATTTGAAGCTTGGAAGACGAAAGAAAGAAAAAAAATAATCATTAAATGTCTAGAAAGTTAGCGTGATAATACCGTTAAGGAAGCACAGAAGTTTTATGGCCAAGATTTATTTGAAGCAAAAAAAAATAAAAAATAAAAGGTTGTGGGTTACAATAAACTTTTAAGACATCTTTTGTGACAGAAAAGACAAATCTAGATTGTGCATACTGAATAAAAGTTCTACTTTAAAACATAATAAAAATACAGTAATAAAAGGTGTTTGATTTGTAGAACATTACGGTAATTAACATCTGTTCATCTATATAAACCACATTTTAACACCAGATGATCAGATGTACCTGGTTAGAGTTCACAGTTCCTCATACATTGGGCCATTTTCTGAATTTCAGCCAAAAAAAAACAAACACAATCTCTATTATTATAGCTCAATTGAAAAGTTGTTTTTCCTTCACTGCCAAAAAGTTTTCTAAGAGGACTTGTGTTTTAGATCTGTGGTGAGGCTTTTATGATGATACAGAGTTCAGTTTAGAAAACGCGAGTGGAGACTCACAAATCTTTGAAGATAACGGGGATGATGCATAACTTTGTACAACCTTCAAGTTTAAAATGTCTTCTCGGGGAGTGTCCAAGAGCAACAGCTTTAATGGTACTCAATGTGTATCTTGTCAATCAGTCTATTATCTGCAGATCTTTGGGGAGCTGCCGTCTCTCTCTCAGCTCGGCTGTGGTTACTCCATGCTCTCAGGGTCTGCTTGGGCCATATACGCATCCAGCTCGGCATCCAGATGGCCTTTGGTCTTGGACATGTAAGCATCAAGCTGGTTGTCCAACTGCTCTCGTGTGACGATGGGACGGCCTGCTCCTCGGCCTCTGCCGCGTCCACGACCCCTTCCTGCAAACCCTCCACGACCTCTCAGACCCCCGCGGCCTAAGAGAGACAATCATAGACTTTAATGTTCAGAGACAAATATTTAAAGGATAATGTATTCACCCCCATGTCATCCAAGATGTTCATGTCTGTCTTTCTTCAGTCGGCCCCCAAACGTCAGTTCCGTTTCGAACGTGGCTTCAAGTCGAGAAATATTATTATTATTAAAAAAATTTTTTTATTGCAATTGAAAGAATAACAACAGTTATGAAGTAACACGGGGCTAACGGACATCACATGAAGTTAGACAAGCTACACAAATTAACAAAATATGCCAATGATAGAGAAGAAGAAGAAAAAAGATAGCTTTTAAAGATAGCTTACAGTAGACTCAAGAATGTTAAAAGGTTTAGAAGCCTTAGAGTTCAAAGGATTTGACATATTCTTAAAAGAAGTAAACAGGGACTTTATATCAGATGAAAACAATCTAAAGTTAGGTTTGCAATGAATGGTTCTGGCTTTATGAAGGTGAAAAAAGCAATAAAACAATATGTTCCAGATGAATGTCCTTGGAATGAAAATCGGACAAAAAAATAATTATTTCTATCATTTTGTTACAGCAGGAAAAAATGAACACGGTAACTTCTGACCAAAAAGACCTGGTGAATGGGCAATGGTGATTCTTCATCAGTATTACAAGATCAACACATTGAGGAAATATTCGCAGAAAATCTGCTCAAAAATAAATGACAAGGGTAGTATCTATGAGCAAGTTTGAAATGGCAAGTCGAGAAATTAAAGCAATCTTGTGGAATAATGTTTATATTACAGTTAACCGGAAATCTCTTTATTTACAGAGTTGGATGGATAAAGGAATTTATTTTTTATCTGACCTTTTTGGTCAGTCAGCTGAGTTGCTTGCTTATGAAAATGTTATGAATAAATGGGCATTTCCCATTAAATATAGAGAATATTATTCTGTGATAAACGCCATTCCCACCGGTTTATTGATGTTAATGAGAAGCCATTAACATTTGTAGAATTGAACCCGTTCTTAATTTAAATGGGGTGGACATTAACAGTAAAAAATGCACAAATAAATGTATTAGAAATCTATTTTATATTTATTTTTCTGGAACATTTGTTTTCCAGAGATTATTTGGAAAAAAAGCTTGGCTTCTTCCCTTTCGGTGTTGTATATCTAACAAACCTGGGGAAATACATCTGAAAGTCCTTCATAATATTTATGTCAGTAACTATACTTGTATGGATATTGATGAAAAATGTTCATTTTGTTCAGCCAGAAAGTATTCTACATCTTTTTTTTTTTTTTTATGTTACCATTCCAAAAAATTCTGGGAAGATTTATGTATATATATTCAACAGAAATCTGTCACTGTAAAAAAAAATTCTGTAGTTTTTACAAAAACATTTTGGCAGCTGTGGTCAAAGAAATGACATTTTTTGAGGAAAACATTCCAGGATTTTTTTTCAATGTAGTGGACTTCAAAAGGTAGCCAACGATTTCAAGGTAAAAAAAAAATGCAGCTTCAAAGGGCTCTACACGATCCCAGCCGACGAATGAGGGCCTTATCTAGTGAAACAATCGGTCATTTTGTTAAAAAAATTATATTCATACACTTTAACCACAAATGCTTGGCTAGCATTAGCTCTGCGATGCGCATCTTCTTTACGTGATGTTGGAACAGTCACACATGATGTATAAGTGGAAGTACCGACCCTGCTTAGAAAGCAAACATGCAAACAAAAAAAACAAAAAAAGTCAAATGCTCTTTATATATATATATATATCAAAACAGAAAACACTAACTGGCAGAAGACTGCATTTTTTTTTAAATGTTCAAGTCTCATTGAAAGAGATGTTTCAATAGTATTTTTTCGTACTAGTTTGTACCATATATCGATATATTTTTTAAATAAGCGATATGGCAATACCGTTTATATCGATATACAGTAGTTTGATACAAGCCCATCTGAATAATCGCGGAGGACACCGAGTGAGCTGCTGCGGGTAAAGTGCATAATCCAGTTTGTCCTAAACATGAGACATGCTTAAAACGTAAGATATAATTAACACGCATAGTTTAAAGCGGCTCACCCCATCAGATGCTCTGACAGTCTCATGTCTGCTACTCACGCGGTGTAATGCGCTTGAGATGTGCTGTTCTCATCAGTACATAACTTACATTTCACAGGTGTAGTCTCCATCTGTAAACGTTACACAATCATGGAAATATTTCCATTTTGCTGTCAGGAGACATCTGCATGCGATTCTCCACTAGACTTCACAACCTTCAGTGAACGAGCGCACCAAACAGCCGAAGCGCAATAATTGTGTCATATGTCGAGTTTTAATCCTACAAGTAAATGTATTTTATAATAGCAGATAGCAGTAATGGGGTAATCAAAATATAATACAATTATTCTGTGCTCCTGTGTTTATTTTCTTTCATTTTTAGTTTAGGGAATTTAACTTCTGCTTTAAAAAGCATTATTTTTGTTTGTAATGTCACAATATTAGAATGTAATGTGATTTTAGCCCCCTTTTTTTTGTTGCACATAATGGATGGCATATCCTATACCAGTCAAAAAATACCGGTAGATGATTTTTTATTTTTTTTGGCCATATCGCCCAGCCCTAGTATTTCTCACCTCTTCCTCCAGGTGCTCCCCCTCGTGCTGCTCCTCGGCCACCCAGAGCACCTCGTCCAGCAGCTCCTCCGCGATAACGCATGCCTCGACGGAGACCGATACGTCCAGGACCACCCCTACCTCTCATCTGACCTGGACCTAACAGATAAAAGTCACTTAACCACAGGAAAATGAATGTGAAAACTACCTCCAGAATGCACAAGGGAGTACTTGCAAAGTTGTGGCATTCTTACGTTACACCAAAACTAAGAATCTCATTGTTTTACTACACAGGACAATGCCATGTCTTTTACTGTTAACTTCTCTCAATAACCGAACATAATTCAAGAGCGGCAATGAGTCAAAATTACAAGTGGATACTCCATTTTTAGTTCAGCTGCAAAAATGATCTCCCTTTACGCTTATTTTTCTTTTTAGGAGCACTTGTGCTAACTTAAATTTAGGAGCAGAGTCAAAAATTTAGGAGCACCTTCTAATCAATAAACCAAAATTTGATTAAAAAATTTGCCTTCCCATTACGAGGTGATAGTTGACTCCTTAAAGTGATTTACAGTGGAATTTTGTTTTTACCTTTGTAATGGCATTTTTCTAACTTTATTAAAAGTATGTAATCTTTTGTCAAATTTTTTACAAATTATATTTGATAAGCTTTTAAAAAAATCTTATTAAAACCACAGAACAAGAACAAGTATAATAAGAAGAATAAGTTACTAATCAAATGAAATCAGTATTAAAATTAATTCGTACACATAAGAACACAAAAGTGGCATGTAGGTGTATTTTCAGACATTTAATGAGGATCAGAGGTGGCATGAGTGCAATTAGATCCATAAATTCATGTTAAGATTAACGTTTTAAAAAATGTTGAATATAGAAATATTAAATTTAAATAACTGAAAATATACTTTAAAAATTAAACAAACTGCCAGCAGGTGGCAACAAGTCACTGATTTTATCACCGAATCATTCATTCAATTGATTCATTCAAACGGCTGATTCATTCAGAAATGAAGCAATGGACAGTATTTATGAATGGGTAATCATGTGTCACTGACTCACAAGATTCATTTAAAAACACAGTTCATTCATAAACGAGACACCGTTGTGTTTGAATGGAGATGTGCAGCGGCTGAGCTGTGACTTTTTCAAACTATTTTCGAGATGAAATAGAGCAAAATCAGACAATAGTGTTATAGTCAGACAATGTAAGTCACTTAATATTAACTTCTTGTCTATTGAACTGTTGTATTAAATCAGTATCACATTTACAAACTCCGTTAAAAATCATTAAAAGCGGTCACTCATCTTAGCTCATCGCGATCTCACATTTATTATCAACGAATCTCAAATGCGACTGAAATGGTCGCACTGTAGAGCCCTGAAAGGTATAATAAAAATTATACCATTTACTTCGTCTCATGTCATTCCAAACCTGTATGACTGACTTTCTTCTGTGAAAATTTATATTTTGAAGAATGTTTTGGTTTACCCAAACAGTTTCAGGTCCCATTGCCTTCAACTATTTTTGGGTCCATACAATGGAAGGTAATGGGAACCAAAACTCTTTGGTTACTAAACTTTTTCAAAATATCTTCGTTTGTGTACCACCGAATTAAGTCAAAAAGCTTTGGAACAACATGATGACAATTTACAATTTGGGGTGAACTATCCTATTTATCAACTACACTCCTTGAAGCAAAAGGCAGGCCTCAGCTGTCTCTTTCTGTTATTACCCTGAGGCTGCACAAACAGGTGCAGGAACTACAAGTCTTATAATACACCAGGGGTCTCTTAACAGCCATAAAACGACAGCTTAGAGCAATCAGCACATCGTGAAGTTTAGAGGGTAGGTGTGAAACCTCAGATGAACAGTGTAACACTGTACAGCATCAGCTGTACTGCAGTGATTGACAACTCCAAATGAAGCAGACTTCTTTTGAAACGTTAAGAAGCTGACAATGCACTTTCAGCAAAGGAAGGACTTGCTTTATACTGAAATACATGCAATTATCTCTTCCTCAGATTTAAAACTGCAGCAGCACATAATTAGACTTGGACCTGATTTAAGTTTATTGCCACATCAGCTTCACAGGCTATTTCATGGCAAACAAAGATTTTACATTAGAAAAACAATACAGTAGCAGACAATACAAAACACAAATTAAATGAAGCCACATAATTAGAACCTGTGTTTGTGTATAAATAGAGGGTATGCAGCTTTGTATGAATTTAAATAGTAAATGCAGGACAGTGGTCGGAGAAGTAGCACAAACAGCTGTGTGATGAAAAGACAGTCACCTCTTAGAGAGAGTGCTCCTCTCATGCCACCGCCTCTCGCTCTTCCCCGCAGTCCTCGTCCAGCTCCACGCAATCCTCCAGGAAAGCCTCGTCCTCTGCCGCCTCCCGGCATCAGCGAGCCGATGGGCCGACCCAGCCTGGCCTGGATGTTGCTCTTCCCAAGTCGCTGTTTTAGGCTCTACAGGTGGGTGATATGAAGTGATGTTTCTCTGGGCTGACTTTAAATGTGGTATGCCTAACTTATAAAGCCAGCATGAAATGACTTTCGGAACATATCAGTAATGCATTACAAAATAATGAAATACGATACGCAACATGAAAAAACCAACAACTTTGTTTTACCCATCCAAATAGCGTACGTTTCAGACCAGAATGAAACCAGATCTGAACTGCAAGCCTGCAGTTTTGTGACTTCAGATTGTAAAGTCTTACCATTATTGTCATAAAGGTAAACAGCATTGTTAACCAACATTAAAATTACCATGTAAACTGTTTGCAAATGTTTAGAATGGCTGCACAAGCCACAACAATATCCTAAAATAATTCCTAGAAAATTGAATAACATGCCTGTGCAGAGTCAGACTGGGATCTGAAAACTAAAATTGTTTCATACATGGAGCATGTTAACACAAAAAGACAAAAAAATTAAGACGACAATTTCCCTTAGGAAAAATGTCACCTTTTTTGTGTATAATTAGACATGTAGAATATTTCTTAACAGCGTATTATGAACGCAAAAAGGGTCAAATTTAATTAATGACATACTTCAATAGTACACTATCATTCAAATTTGGGGATTTTTTAAAATAAGTCTCTTATGGCCACCATGGCTGTATCAAAAATACAGTATCTTCATTAATATATTGAAATATTATTACAATATATGTTCCATTTGAATATTTATTTTAAAATGTAATTTATTCCTGTGATCAGAGCTGAATTTTCAGCATCATTACTCCAGTCTTCAGTGTTACCCGATCCTTCAGAAATCATTCTGATATACTGATTTGCTGCTCAAGAAATATTAATCATCAATGATGAAAACAGTTGTGACACTTAATTCTGTGTTAATACTTTATGGATTTTTTTGATCAATGTAAAATTCAAAAGAACAAACTTTATTTTGAAATAAAACATTTTTGAAACATTACAATTGTCTTTTCTGTCACTTTTGATCAATTTAATGTGCCCTTGCTGAGAAAAAACAACAACAATACAATTTTAAACAGTAGTGTACATATTCAATAGCTTTTTGCAACCACTTGTACTGTAAACGCATCCGTCAGCTGACTCGCAGCTCCGTCTATATCACCTCAATGTGTCATGTTAGGTCATCTTTGTGCATGCCATTCCCTCTCTTACCTGTTTGTGCTGCAGGGCAGCCTGCACAGAGGGCCTGTTCTCCATCTGCTGAGCAAGCCGGCGGTTCCTCGCACTGGCCATGTGCTGCTGCTGCATGGTCGCCCGGATGTTACTCACTGTCGGCTGCTTGTTCTTCAGCATGTTTGTGAAGCTTGTGGGACACAACAGAAGAAGGAGGGTAGAGAGAGAGAGAGACACACAGAGGAGGGAAAGGGAGATACGAGGAAAGGAGGGTTCCATATCAAATAATTTCACACAGCATGGATGCAGCTACAGCGGATCCTGTAGCAATCTAGAGAATGCCCTTTTTAGACCACAGCTGCTTTCATTTACTCTCTCTCTCCATTGCGTGTGGAGACACCCCAACATATTTGGCTTAAACTGAATGCCTACGATGTGGTTTCAGCGGTAAAAGAGAAGACAGAGATAGAAAAGAGGTCGATTTCTGAGTGATTGCCACTTACAGGCTGCCATCAACCGACTGTAATGTCATCAGTCCGAGACACCACGCGGTGAGTCAGCCCAGGGCTAGAGGGGTGTCTGGCAACCCAGCCACTTACAACCAAGACCGTGACCTGGCACGCTGTTCTGTGAGACGCCTCTGATGAGAAGGAGGGAAGGGGGTTGGGGGGACAGGTCACGTCTAGGTACGGACTGAGCACCTTATTCTGTAGACAGCCAGAGAGAAAGTGAGAAACGCAGAGGAGGAGCAGACAAACTCTTCTGGGAGAGAGAGAGAGTGTGTGTTTTTGTGTGAGAGTGGGTAAGAAATACGGATGGCACACACACCATCCTGCATTATCATCTCATTCCCATGGCTGAGGATGCTCTTCTGCAGTGCAGTCGGCTTACCTCGCCCTTACCCTCTCACCTCCGGGTGTGCGCCGCTTACGCAAGAGACGCCTCGCCAAACACGGCACGCTATCAGATCTTTATTCTCGACTCATGTAATCGCCATCCTGTTGGGTAAGCGGCGCACATCGTGCAGGCAGTCTAGCATCCACGTCAGGTCTGATGTCTCCCCCTCAATGATCTCCATAGTACACGTGTCTTGAGGCTTGCTGCCTTAGTTATCTCTGTATGCTTTTCCCCCTGGCCTTGAGATAATGCTGTCAGGATGCGTAGCGCCTCACCGCTCATTCAGGGACACCTTGGTGGTGCTTTTCAGCACGACTTTTTGAGAAGAAGGGGCACTCATGTTTCTTCAGACTTGCAGGGATCTCTCCTGTAAGAGACAAACAGCAGAATATAGATGTTAGGTATCTATAGTAATGCATGAAATGAAAGTGAAAGTCTCAAAGACAGAAATAAGAAAGTCAATGGAGAAATCTGAAGTTAGAAAAGGTGACTGGATTTTAAAATCTTGTGAGCCGAGTCTGACTACCTATACCAGGCTTTTCAACCTTTTAGACACCACGGACCCCCAAGGGTGCAAGGGACGTCCATGCTAAAATATAGAAGGCGACTACATATTCTATTGTATAAAGACCAAGTTTATACAGTGAAAATATTAAATATGAAACATTTTCTATATTAAGGAGATTTTCCCCCATACTTTTCTGTCTTTTTCTTGAGTCCTGCAATTTTATTTAGATTTTCTCTAAATAGAATGTTTTTAAAATTATAAACCAATTTAAGTTTTTTTTTTTTTTTTACACACAGTTTGCTCTTTAAACTTTTTTCACATATTGCCTAGAAAATAAACCCCAGAAATGTGCAAGGGAGCGGTCCCCATTTATTTAACCACTTAACTGTCACCGTCCCACCATTTTTTCTCTATCAAATCTTTTAGTAATCATCATAAATCATATATCTTTTGAAAGCTTAGAAGCCCAAGATTCATCCTGTGAAAACCATTTCGAAATCAGACATTGCGTTACCATGGAAATGGTACTTTAAAATCTTTTGGCGGTCTCCTCCCCCTTAGTGGGCGGTGTCAAGTGTCATATTACAAAATGCATTACAGTCTTTTAAAATCAAAACTTTTTATAATCTTGACAAAAAACATATAATTGGAAAGGTCTGATAGAAGCAATATTGACAGAGAAATCTAGACATTTATGACAGAAAAATGCATTAAAAAAATTCAATGGAGTTTGGATGGCACCCGGTGGCTGTTTGTGGTATACAATCCTAAATACAATCTCACAGGAACCTCCATTTTTTTCATATCAACTTCAAATTTGGAACATACCTTTAGACATAAGGCTATAATTGTACACCAGTTTTAGAGTAAAACCTGATATGTAAAATATTTATTATATATAAAATAAAATTAATATAATACATTTTCTTTACAGTAAATTTAAACTACTATAACTTTTTGATACTTAAATTTTTTGAAAAAAATTCCACTTGCGAAAATTTGCTGATTTTCTTCTTTAAAGGGGTCATATGATGCTTTTTTAAAGATCATTATTTTGTGTATTTGGTGTAACAGAATGAGACCCACCTTATGTCTGTATTCCAAAGTGTTCATAAATTACAACAATTTAAGTCTGGATAGTGCACCTGCATGCCGATTTTAAAAAATGGGGGATGACAGTTAAAGGGTTAATCTTTATATTTATTTTATGTAAATCTATATTATTTTATTTAAATCTTTACATTGAGTATTTCCTACATTTTTTTTTACAGTTTTCTCTAAACTTTTCCACAGATTTCCAAGAAATCTCTTGCTTATTTAAATCTTTTATATTTATTTCAATATTTTTATTTAAATTACTTTCTCCCTCTTTCCTCTACATTTGTCCACCGACTGCCTATAATTCCCTTGAGGCCTTTGTTTATTTATTTGAATATTTTATATTCATTTTTTTAATTAATTTAAATAGATGTTTACTTAATTCCTACATTTTGTTTTTACACTTTTCCCACAAACTCCCCAAACCTTCACTGAGGCCCCGGTCAGAAACCCCTGACCTAGACAGCATTTATTAAGTTTTTGCAGTAGGTATAACAGGGCTTATGATGCCCAAAAATGCTGTTCAGGAGCTCAGTGGGTTCCAGAACGTGTTGTTATTCATACCAGGCGTCCACATAATGCTAAATCAACAAGATTGGCCGGTTTAACAGATGTATTTACATAACCGTGCACTTCAATATCCACGTAACTCACACAAAACTCGTTCTTATTCACATATTAACCACGCTACTATTATATGGTAGCGTGTAAGATATACTGAATCCTTACCTTTTGTCTGAAAGACTCGTGTAGCGGAGTCAGGGCAGATCTGTTAGCCGTGTAACGTTAGCTTAGCGCCTGACTCGACAAAACCACACTCCAGACTTCTCCGCTTCACGCACGAAAATTGGTCAACTACCGCCCCTCTTCTAAATATATTTAAGAACTTAAAAACAAAGCGATATCCCACAAAACTGGCTATGTAACACCAATATACTTCTAATCCGCAACTCTATCTACCTCCCCTCCCCTCATTCATCACAAAATGGTGCTAACAACTGCGCGAGCTAAAATGGAGCGCTGTGTGTATAAAGTCAGATATCGCGAGATTTACTAGGGTGTGTGCGTGAAAAGATTTTGTCTTTCAAAAACGTTACGGCACATTTTAAGGTGTTCTGAGCAGGTTTAACCCTTTTAAATTACATTTGAGCCATTACAATATAGCCTATGTCGTCCTGAGGTGAGACAAAATAATTGAAAGAATTACAAATATTGCACGCAATCGCTCAATTCTTATCAGATAACCTCTATAAAACATGTATAATTATTATTGTTAATTTTTTTATTGAAAGGGTCATTCTATTGAAATGTCCATTTTTCTGTCTGTTAATAAAAATAACAATTGGTCCCTCGATATCTCTTTGCCGCCTTGAAGAATTCTCAGTTCATTAAAGCGTATACGGCTGGGAAGCAAGAAAACACACATTCAATGTATTCTCAATACTTCAATTTATTCATAGATATAAAGATATTATATAGGCATTTGTCGAGGGGAGTTTCAACCCTTTAACCAATGAGAATGTATGATATACATATAGGATCTTTGGCCAAGAACATGTGTTTATATAAAATGGCCAGAAAAACATGGACATATTAGGAATAGATTTTGGCGAAGGATGCTGAACTCTCTTCAGAGTTCCTCACAAACTCCTTTACCTTGTAGTCCTAGCATTCATGTCCTTATTTGGGCATTTGAACCAAGAAAAGCTAATGCATACATGTGCGCATGCGTACCTCGAATATGAGTAAGAGATATTAAAACATAATACAAGAGAGAGAGAGAGAAACAGATAGAGCAGGGGGGATTCAGAGAGAATGCGTTGTATAGGGAAGAGTGAGAGAGAGGGGAAAAAAAGGAGGGGTGAGGCATATCTGGAACCATTCTGAAGACAGAGAGTGTTTTCTAACACTGTCTCTAGCCTTTACAGAAATATTGCACTTGAAAAACACTTTAGGGTTACGATTTATTGTTTAAAATGAAACAATATGTTATTTGAACAATTCCACCTTGTTGAGCCATCAATGTGGCCATGTTTGTTTTTTAATTAATTATATAGAATTCCAAGCACCACAGAACTACTCGTCCCCACAGCCATGTACAGAGAAAAAGTGCTTTATTTTGATATCCAAAACAGGTTTTTCTACCATTTAAAATAGCTACAACAAGGTATTCATAACTATCAAATATATGATGTAAATGACATTTTAAAAAAACTGAATGCTGAATAAATATGATAAAATATATAATGAAAGTTGTGGTCCCCTGCAGTTGTGTCACTGGTGCTACCGTTTAACACAAATAGTTTATTTTGAAATAAAAATCACACTGATAACATCACTAGACTAACTTCCGATTTCCTGAAGATATATGAAGAAGGGCCCATGTCAAGTCCACTGTCTCTTTTCAGTCATCAGAAATGTTCTCATTTATCTCATGATTTTATATGAAGCTTTTAGTTGAACTCACTGGTATGACCTACTTTATTGTTAGGGAATTGTAAAAAACTAGAATACAAATGGATTAAACTACTTAATTTAGTGAGTGTACCATGATTGACAACATGTGGTTTGATATCTTACAGCAGACATTTTGTAAAATGGGTCATTCCGTGTCAACTCAACCAGAGGTCCCCGGTTCAAATTTTTGATTTTGCTAATATTTTTTCTGAAGAAAGATAAACATGTATAGTGATGAAAGCCAAAATATTAAATGCCGTGGATGAATATTTACTGCCATTGCTATTGGGGGGAGTCAAAATGGCAATTTTCAGCTGAGATTCAGAGCCAAATTACAGGGGGTTAAAAATGTCTTCAGAAAGATGGCAGCATTATTATGTTACTTTTACACAAAGATTGGTAGGTCTATTAGTAAAATCTGTTGACTTTAGCAATCTTTGTTGCATTATGTGCCAATGGTGACCATTCAAAAATGGGGAAAGAGCACTTTTCAAGTTTTTTCTCCAAAGTTTGCAGGCCTGTAACTCAATAAATATTAAAGATATCTTAATGCCCTTTTAGATATTGGGTCTTAACAAACTTCCCTTTTGGCATCTTCATTTTTAAGGCCCTATATTGTTCGGTTCCAGAGATATTGGAATTTCAATATGGCTACAGGAGTAAATCATTAAATTGTACACATTTTCAGTGGTCAAAAACCAAATGTGGGTCCTTCTGTCAGAACAACTGCATTGAACATACCTGTCTAAGTGTCATATATATTCTTTTTCCAACGTTTGCCTGCCTGTAACTCAAGAAGTATTAAAGATAATTTGGTTTTAGATTCTAGTTCTTAATAAACTTTTCTTTTGGAGTCTTCATTTTCAAGGCCCTACATCGTTCAGCTTGAGTCGGGGACCTCTGGTTGAGTTGACACGGAATGACGACCAAATGCATTTTTCATGAAAATTGTAACTGGTGTTACTGTCACTGGTGTTACCTTGCTTATGCGTAAATAAATGCACAAAAAAGATAAACAAATCATTAAGCTGTCATTTATGTATATCCTATTCATTAAGTCAAAAGGTAATCTAATTATGTGGTCTAAGTTTAAATGTTAGCTAAAGAAATACATTTTAAGACATCTTACCATAACAAAAGTGGACATTTCTGTAGAATGACCCAAAAAGGTAATATGCCACAGACCCTCAAATGATCATCTTAATGCAATTCTGACATTTAAAAGACAGCCACTGTATACATTTTCATTTATAAATCCCAAATCTATGCTGTGAAAAATTTACATTATAATTATGTTGAAAATATTTAGATTCTATTACATTACATTATCACGTTTTTACTCACAAATGTACTGTTGATGTATGTTTGTTTGTTTATTTATTTAATCTTTTAATCTTTTAATTATTTATTTTAATTCTTTTAATTTCTATTATCCATTTATTGTAATCGACATTTTTTACATTGTTTTTAATTTGTACAAAGTTTTTTTTTCTAGACTGTGTCACTGCTTTTCACTGCTTGAAATTTCATGCCAGTTGCACACTATTTGTGCAGCCTGCTTTATGTATACTGTTCATCATTACATGCTGTTTCATGTGCTAGTTTCACATACAATGTATACTGCGTCGTATGTATTAAGCAATCCGCTAGCATTAGGCTACTGTTGTATTTGAACACAGCCATGTGTGACGCAGAAGTTCGCACATTTGGAGATTCGCTGATTTACAAATCATGCACATCGATTTTCTAAGATTTATACTCACTGCAAATAATTTTGTTATCAATTTCTTTATTTTTGAGCCTTAAAATTTAGATGGAAAATGTGTGCCTTTGTATTGTTTGAGCCACTTATCAAAAGTTGCTAAAAGTAGCCAAATAAAATTTACAAATAGCTAAATTTGTTGCTAGGTGCTTTCGGAAGCAAAAGTTGCTAGGGTAGTCTGAAAAGTCAAAATGGCTAAACTGGCACCACTGAGTGGATTAGGCTGGTTGTGTTTGGAACACCTGGCAACCCTGACTGTCGCTGTCAGCTCGGAGCTCAGTCAAGATGGCCGCGCTAGCAGTGCTGGAAACCCCATCAGGGAGAGACGCTCTCGCCGAGGGCTTGCTGGAGCTCATGAGCCCCGCTGTGCAGCAGCTCGACTTGCATGTGCACTCAGTCAGGTAGTGTACTTTGGCAAACATACGTGTTTTTTTTTTAGACCCGATAAATGTTTAATTCAAAACGATTAGTTGTGTGCGCTAACATGCTAATGACAGGTCTCGTGACTGAGTCAGGGATGCTGTAGCATGCAAAACTATTGCAGTTCATTTATTTGTTTCTTACATTTTCGCAGTATCGCACGATTTTTGTGTTTTGAGATATGGTGCATGGTCATGGATTTCAAAGCGTGCGTAAATATGTACAGCTATATCGTTTATATACTGTAAATGTGTCTTCACAGAGAAAGCCAAGTGGAACTTAGGGAACACATTGATAATTTGGCATCTGGTAAGTTGGCCTGAGGTGATTATGCCTTTACAGTTTTTCTCAATCCCTTTGGCTTAATTCTTGAATGAGATTTCTTTTCTCAAAACGGTAAGTTAAAGGGGTCATATGATGCTGCTAAAAAGAACATTATTTTGTGTATTTGGTGTAATGAAATGTGTTTATGCGGTTTAAGGTTAAAAAAACACATTATTTTCCACATACTGTACATTATTGTTTCTCCTCTATGCCCCGCCTTTCTGAAACGTGTCGATTTTTACAAAGCTCATCGGTCTGAAAAGCGAGGTGTGCTCTGATTGGCCAGCTATCCAGTGCGTTGTGATTGGCCGAATACCTCAAGCGTGTGACGGAAATCCTTTAAATATGAAAACATAGTGGGTCAGAACAGCCGGCATTGTAGTCTACTCTCCCAGGATCAGAAAACAGTCCTCCATAAAATGTGCTGCACACATCTGAATATTTGGGTTGAAGTGTTCTGGAACAGTGTTGTAAATACAACTTAACCTCTGATTTCTAGTCGTGTTCCCTTTTGGAAGACCAAACAAAGTAGTTTCGCTTTCACAATGAAGCACACAGCACCTTCACGACATGGCGGCGGCAACAACAATACTACAGCGAGAATAGGGAGGGCTTGAGAACGGCGCGGCCGGCGATTTCGATGAAGGAGCGTCCGGAAGGACATGTGACGACTCCAGGCTGAACTCTGCTTCGTCTACGGTGAAAGCCGATCCGGCGATCCACAGCGTGAAGTTGATGTATTTCCTCAGCAACCAGCACGGATCAGCTCCAGGCATGATGAAGCAGATATCGTCCTCTTTTGGAAGACCAAACAAAGTAGTTTTGCTTTCACAATGAAGCACACAGCGCCTTCACGACATGACGGCGGCAACAACAATACTACAGCGAGAATAAAAGTCACACCTTCTTTCTTTGCGTGCACATTTGGGCGGCGTTATGCAAATCTTCCCACATAGTGATGTAGATATGTGGGGGCGTGTTAGAACGAGCGTGGTTGACTTTGATAAAGTGTATCTCTTTGGATTTGAGACTTTAGTCTTTGCAACTTTACAGATCTT